CCCCACCTCTCAGTGCTTTTATGTCATCTGATTTGCTTTCATATTTTATTACTTTTTGTAAAGTTATATATTCTTAGTTCGTTATAATTTCAATTTTAATTTTTAATGTAGTAATTATTGTTTTCATTAATTTGTAATAGAGAGCTTCCCTTATGATACTTTTGTGGTATAAGGGTGGCGAATTTTTTTGATTAATAAAGATCAATTTTATTCCATTTAAAAAAAAAATATATAGAGAAAATTGGTTTGAATACATGCATTAAATCACCTAGGACGGTGTTCACAAAGTTTCTATGCAAAACATGACCCCCTCCCATCAACACGCCTATGGTACCTATTACATCAACATGGTGGTACACACATATTGGCGTGATCAACGTATGTACGTACTTTGTGGACGCCGCATAATATTTAAATAATTACCACTAAAGCAAAATATATGGGTGGTATACAACTGGTTCCCATAACCATAATAAGTGCTCCCATGATAGTACTCGCATCGGAGTAGGCGTGTCCAATATTATAAAACATAATGCCCACCCAGAATACATTAATCTGCCATATATTTATACATAACCATTGGAACCATTAGTGTTCAAAAATTGACATGGCTAATATTTACCAAATACATAACCAATCGGTCTAGTAGCAATCGGGGATTACGGATTAGGGTTACATACGAGCGCCACAATAGTGTCACAAATTGTTGCCAATAGCCAGCCTTATAGCCCGATCCCAGTATCGGTATATTGAATGTAGGCGTTCCTCGAGTGGTGTCCTGATTTGCATTTATAGTTAGCCCCGAATAACACGAATCGAGATAATTGTCGCAAATTTGCTGTATTTTAAGATATTTTTTCAGTAATTAATTATTTAAAACATATAAAAACTATAATAAAAATTACATTAACTTTGCGTTTGGTTTGCGAATAATTAGTGTGTGTTATGGCTGTTGTGGGCGTAAAATAAATATAAAATTAAATAATATTTAGTTATTTACAAATATAAGTCTCACCCAGTTGCTTTACATAATAATCGCACGGATTGTGGGTGTTTGGGCAAAACTGTTTTGACAAATGAAATAAAAATGTTAAAAATTTGTATACAACTGTAATTCAAGTCTTACTAATCCTTGCGATGAAAAGAAATTCTTGGCGTCACCTAAAAGTGCAATACATTTGCAAATTATAACTATTATAGCAATGGATTTATAATTACAGTACCGATGGACCCCATGAAAGCTACCCTTCCGTCGGCCATAAGTAATAGACTGTCGAAGAGTTCAAACACTTGAGACGAGGGCTGATGTATAGTACAGATGATAGTCCGTCCCTCCAACGCCATAGTCTTCAGCACTTGTACTATACTTTTGGCCATAAATGAGTCCAAACCAGTGGTCGGCTCATCGCTAATAAAGTCAAACATATTATCATTATTTAAATCATAAGATAATTACATTTGAGATGTATTTCTGACCAAAACATTAGCGAAGGGTTTGTGAGGACTTCTGAAGCAATGGACAGTCTTTTCATTTCTCCGCCGGAAATGCCTTTAAAATGATTTTTGTCTCCAATCCTTGTTTCCGCACATTTCGCTAAATTAAACTAAATATTGAAAAAAACTATATTAAAAATAATTACTCAATATCCGGAAAAGTTATATAAACCTTGTCTATAATTCTTTGAATGCAATCTTGTCTCTCATTTGTATTTAAATTCTTATCCATTCTTAACAATACCTTAAAAATAAAATATTTGTCACAATATTGTTTATAATAAATATATTGTATTTTCAAACTCAATGATAAATACCTGAAACATGAGGTGCTCTCTGACTGTAAGCATGGGTTGAAACAAATCGTGTTGTTGTATATACGAGGACATGGATGCAATGGTCTGTTGATTGACTGCCTGTCCATTCATGAATACCACTCCATTGACGGACAGTTGCCGTAAATTTCTTGTCGTCAATACATTCAATAGAGTGGTCTTTCCGGAGCCACTGAATGTCACAACAAATTAAAATCATTTGAAAAAATAAATAATTAGAGATAAATAAAACAAATCAAAACTCTAGTCGTAATCATTGTTTACATAAAAATTATATATTAGGTCGTATAGAAATGTTGTTCCTGGCTATAATTTAAATATCTCTGGAATGGCTTAATATTTTCAAAAGTGGTTTGTTTTATTGAATAGCCTAATAATGTGATGATTTTGGGCACAAAAAATAATTTTTTAACTCTAACGCTTTCTATGTAATTTCGGGACCAT